GTATCAGTTAAGTGAATATATTGGTCCTGGAGTTATAGAAAAATATAAGACCCCAAGGAATAAGAAGCTAAAGTTTGGAGAGAAGGGTAGAGAATTAGGTAATGTGACAGAAAACTATATGAAATAGTTTTTTTTAAAAAAACAGAGGCTCACTGTGATAAAAACAGCATGGTACTGGCAAAGAAATAGGCCTGAGGATCAATGGAACAGACTGGAAGACACAAAAACAAATGCAGATGTACTCAGCTACCTCATCTTTGACAAAGGAGCTGACCATCCTCAGTGGAGGAAAGATAGCCTCTTTAATAAATGGTGTTGGAAAAACTGGATGTCAACCTGCCACAGATTAAAATTAGACCCTTATCTTTCGCCATGCACTAAATTAAAATCCAAATGGATTAAAGATCTAAATATTAAAACAGAAACATTAAACTTGCTGGAAGGTAAGTTAGGCAGAACTCTGGAAGACATTGGTATAGGAAAAGACTTTATGAACAAATCCTCAGTAGCACGGGAACTAGCAGAAAGAATCAACAACTGGGATCTCATCTTACTAAAAAGCTTCTGTACTTCAAAAGAAACCATTAGCAGAACTAAGAGACAATCTACAATGTGGGAAAAAATTTTTACCAGCTGTACCTCAGACAAAGGACTATTATCAAGGATATATAAAGAACTCAAAACAATCAGTCCCCCCAAATATAAAGACCCGATCCAAAAATGGGCATCCGAAATGAACAGACATTTCTCATACAAAGAAGTAAAAGCAGCAAGAAAATATATGAAAAAATGTTCCACATCACTGGTCATTCGAGAGATGCAGATGAAAATAACACTGAGATTCCACCTCACCCCACAAAGAATGGCTGCTATCAAGAAATCACACAATAAGAAATGTTGGCGGGGTTGTGGGGAGAAAGGAACCCTCCTCCATTGTTGGTGGGAGTGCAGACTAGTGCAACCACTATGGAAATCAATATGGAGATACCTCAAAGAGCTTGGACTGGAGGTTCCATTTGACCCAGCCATCCCTCTGTTGGGTATCTTTCCAAGAGAACTAAAAGAATCATATCACAGAGAAGTATGTGCACCCATGTTTATAGCGGCACAGTTTGTAATAGCTAAATCTTGGAAACAACCTATTTGCCCATCCGTTGGAAACTGGATAAAGAAGTTGTGGTTTTTCTATAAAATGGAATATTACTCAGCCATAAAGAGCGAGAGAATAGATTCATTCATAGGAAAATGGATACATATTGAAGATATACTCCTAAGTGAAATAAATAAGTCCCACATGTGTAAATACCAAATAGTTTCCCTGGTGTGAATATTCTGCAACAATGCATAAGATAGTAATGATTACTGACATTTAGAAATGGGAGGAAAGGAGCTAAAGGTGTAGGGAAGGTGTGATACGTAGGGGAAGAACAAAAAGGGAAAAGAAAAAAATGTGAGAGAATGAAAAGATGAAAATAAAGTGTTTGTAGATGGGGAGGGGAGGAGGGGGTGAAGGGAGGGCAGAGGTAAGGGGAAAAAAATGAGAATCAAGACTTGCCATGTAAAGGTACATGATCCCAACAATGAATGTAACTGTACTGTATCCCTAAATGTACCAATAAACTCAATTAAAAAAAAAACAGAGGCTCATAGATAGAGGAGATATTATAGAATACTTTTAAGGGAGGTAACATCTGAGCATAATCTCTAAGGGTGACATAGAATTAGTCAAAATTTAAAGTGTTTGAAAACAAAGCACAGCAGATGCAAAAGTTAAAGTGATGTGTATGAGAAGTTTAAGCATTATAACCAGAGCAAAGCATAAGGCTGGGAGATGGGATGTTGGAAAGCTTGAAATCTCTGAGGGCTGTTTATGAAATAGAAAAGTTTAAAGCTGAGAGTGCCACTCTTATGTGATCTGACTAATCACATGGCCAACAGTTCTGACAATTAATTAAAGCAAAAAGTTTAATGGGAATGAACGACTATAATCAGATAATTATAAAAGTTAAATGTAGATGTTTTAATGATATCAGCAAAGGCAGTGGCATTATAGCCCAAACATAAAAGGATGGATTTAAGAAAGGTTTAGAAAATAAGATTAAAAGAATAAATTCGATGGTTGTGTGAGGACGTAATGAGAAGAAAGTACACTGAGAGAGATATGAAATAATGAGACAATGAAATTAATCAAAAATCCCGAGACATGGATAGAGCACAAAGACCTCTGTCTCTTAAATTTGCCTGGGCTTTATTCTTCCATACTGACTTGCACTGTTAAAGCTTGGATTCATTTTACTTGGAGCACTGTGACAGTATCTTCTTCTTACATTTCAACCCTTCTAGTCAATCTTCCAAATTGCTGCTAGACTTGCTGTCTTTTCCAAAATGCATTTATGATCTATTACACCTATGCTAAAATCGTGACTCTCCTCTTGAAACATTTTGTTCAACTCTCAACATCTAATGGATACTGCCCAAACTTTTCAAAGCAGTGTTTAAGGGCCTTGGTAATCTAGCCCCCTACATACATCATTAATCTGACATTCCTCCAAAATCGGCAGGCCACGCTATACTAATCCAAGGTACATTGGAATCTCTCATATCATTCAACCCATAGCCAAGCTCCATAGAAGTGATGGTGCTTATTATTTGGTTGCTAAAATGCTCTTCCTTTCCACCATCCTTTGATTTCAGGCAAGCTCTCAATGCTTTCTTTATACATCGAAATTAAGCATTCCTTTTCAGAGAGAAGCTCTCATAATTCCTTCACCCCTGAAGCATATCTGGCCTCCTATAGTCTGATATTCGGCAGCCCCTCTATTGCAGTACCCACTGGGGAGGATTTCCTTGATGTTATGCATGTATCTCTACTGAATGAAGAACTCCGTACTGTGAGGACAACGTCTTCATCTCTGTAGCAAAATCATCTAGAAGGTTTGTCTCATACAAAGATTTAAGAAAATATTGTGCACACCTGTAATCCTAGCACTCGAGAGGCTTAGGCAGGAGGGTCGCTGTGAGTTTGAGACCACCCTGGGCTACACAGTGAGTTCAACAGCAGTCTGAATTACATAGTGAGACCCTGTCTCAAAAAAAAACAAAAAAAAAAAAAACAAAAAAAAAGGAAGAAAATATTGTTTGAATGAATGCTCACAGAATTAACAATTGTATGAGCAGCTGATTTCAGGAAAATTTATAAAACAATAATAATGCACAGGTCCTTGTCATTCAGTGTGGACTCTCACAGATATTAAAATCCAGATACTTGAGTGCTTTGCAGAGAATGGTGTGATATTTGCACATTACCCATGCACAGCCTCCAGTACAGACATTCCTCATTTCATGACCTACTTGTTTAATGACTTTTGGACTTAGGACCTGCTGCTCAGACTTATGACCCACATTCGGACTTTCAATGCAGGCAATTGAGCAGCAATGTAGCCTTATGGTGGCTTCTTTTACAGATACAGTACTGTCATTTTTAATGATTGCCCTGTATGTACAGTTCGGTTCTGCTATACATTATAGTACTTTGCATAAGAGTTATGCAAAGAAAAGAAAAGTCACACAGATGGAGTTTCCTTTGACCATTTCTTCGCTCTGAGCATTGTACACATATACACAATTTCTCAGTTAGTGACCGATTCATTTAAAGACCTAGTCATAGAAATGGAATTTAGTCATTAAGCAAGGCATGACTATATTCTTTAAATCTTTTCTAGATTTAAATACCTACCACAGAGTCAATGCTACATAAATAGTTGTTGTACAGCATTGTTTATGGAAATAACAAGAAGAGTTAAGATTTATGTGTGTCCAGCATAGGCATAATTTTTGTTTTTTATTGGATCCATTAATGTGAAGGCCCATGAGTTTGCCAGTTTAACCCTACCAGACATGTTGCTTTGGTGAGTGACAACAGTGATGTTGAAAAGTGGACACATCTTCTTTGTTGTTGTTGAGTGATCATTTTATAGAGTTACCTTCTCTAATAAATTATTTACATTTTATGGGCTCGGAGATTTCAGGCTTTATAAAGGAATAAGGACTATCCAGAGTTTCATTATTTATGTTCTCAGTGAGTCAATATACACATAATACTTATAAACATATGTTGCACTTGGTTACATACTCTAGTTAGCTTCTTCCATGAAATATAGTAATATCAGGAGCAATATCAACAGTAATATTGATTTTAACTAGGCCCTAATTGCTGGCATTTTGGACACTGTCCTCACTGGGAAGAGAATATTTATAAAAATCTACTGTCAAGAAAGTCTGCGCCATTCTTAGTTTTCTGTACTCGATATATAGGTAAATACTGAGCTATGAATAAAAATGGTCTGCACATATATAGCTATACATTAATGTACACATGTTCGGAAAAGTCAGAGTTTAAGTATATTTCAGTTAAACATTTTCGGAGAAAATGAAACTTTTCTCTCACAGTTATATAGTGACTGGATTTCCTTGCGTCAAAAAAAAAAGACAATATTTTTGAGGAATATTACAAAACATGAAGCGAATTTTACAACCTGAATTTCTTGTATACTAATATCGTTTCCATAATGCCAGATGTTTTTGAGTGGCTCCTTATCCTCAAGCTTTATAATTTTAAGAAATACTACTTTCATATTATTTGTACTTTCTCCTGCTTTTTTTGTGGGCTCTGATCAGTCTTATATTCTTCTTCTTTTCCTCACCTAGGAGCTGTTGGATTGATTTATCAGGGTCCCTTACTATTTTTAAGAGATCTCTCATTTCAGGGTCACTGACCACCATCCCATCTTTTATATCTGATATTCTGTCTTCAGATTGGCTCAGTCAAAGAATCTCTCAATTCTCTACTTTGAAATTTACAATACATTAATAACTACAGTCACAGGAGGGAGGTTCCCCAAAATAGAATTTCCATACTTTCCAGCAACCTCGTTACTAGGTATAAACACAAAGGGAATGAAGTCCGTGTTCGGAGGAAAGTCTACGTTCCTTGGCGGTCGCATTATGGTTCACAGTACTCAGGACAGGGGACCGACCCACCTGTCCGCCATGCACGACTTGATGAAAAGTCTGACATATTTACAAACGCAATGGAAGATGAGTGAGTCTTTTAGAAACCAGGAAGTTCTGTCACCTGGATCACTGAATGAACCTACAGGACCTCACGTTAACCCAAATATGCTGGGTGCGAGTGGAATATAAACCGGTTAGGGTCTGAAGTAGAGGTAGGAAGGTGATCGGAGTCTTTGAGGTGGGGTGGGAATGGCAAAGAAGGAGACACTGGGGAGAAACTATGAAGATCAGAGGAATAAGTTAGGCTGTTCTCCTCGCACAGGAAAAGACACATTTTGTGCCATTTTCCTCCTTGCTCAGGCTAGTCACAGGAAAATTTGGAACTCATCGGACTTCCCCGGATGTTCAACATTGAGATTTCTTACAAAGAGAATGATTACATGTATTTGTGTCCTTCAGTACGTACCAGGAAAGAGGGTAATTAAACTGTATAAACTTCCATAAGGAGCCCAGGGAAATATATTAATAGTAAAATACTAGAAAATTGGTAAAAAGTCTTCAGTTTTCTGGTATGTGCAAGATTTTATTCTCAATATTACTTTCAGACATTAAATAAGTAAAATGAAATATCACATACCTGGTGGGCAGTTAAATACATATGCAACTACCTGCTAAATCTGCACAAATTTTCTACCTAAGAAAAATTTAAATTGTATGGTTGAAGATGCATGGGGCTGGGAACTGGGACGGCAAATGAAATGCCATGTATTCGGTGGGCACTACGATTTGCAATGCTAAACAGACTACTGCCACTAGGTGACACTGTTGGGCAAGAGTTAAAAGAAAAATTGTAGTGTATCTTCACTGTGGGTTAAAACCGATATTTTACCAGCATGTTGCATGAAGTTACCCTGTCCCTGAACAGCCTGAGTTTCACCTCTGGTCTCAGTTACTTTTTCTGTGTCTTTGTAGCTTTGTTTGATGCTCATACTATTAGTGATTCAAAGCTCTAGCCCCCATCAAGTCCCTGTGAGATTATTAGATATGCTTTGTGTTTTGGGGGGTGTTTTGTCGTTGTTGTTGTTTTGTTTTTTGGTTTTTGTTTTTTTGACCGGGGATCGAACTTGGGTTTTTGTGCTTGCAAGGCAGGCAGCGGAACCACTGAGCTAAAAGCCCGGTCCTAGATATGCTTTGTTTAGGCAGCTTTACTTCTCCGCTTTCTCTGACGTGGAACATCTTGACTTTGTTATGCAATTGTGTCCTTTTCAGAACAATGCTGTAAGGCATTACTGTAAGCCCCGTGCCTTCCATTATAAGGAATGTGTATATAGAGGGGTACAGTGTACACCCAAGAACTCAGGTGGCAGTGTATCTTTTACTGTCTGCTAACCACTTAGCACCTCCTGTATCATCTCACAAACTAGTCCTGTTATTGGCTATTTCTTCCACTTGGAACTTATGTCTCCTAAATTTATAGTTTATTGCTAGGAAATCACAATCTGTACGTATGTGTGGTTTTAACAGTGAAGGTTAAAATGAAAATATGTAATATCTAATTTTTCTTAAAGTGAACTTTCAGGTTCGAATCACAGTAAGAGATAATTAATAATACTAGTTTGAACTTCACTTGAGCATTTCTCCTAAGCTAACGTCTGTGTTTTACATCAGGCTATATTGTACTTTTCAGTACGGAGCATCGAACCCAGGACCTTGTGTTTGCCAGCCAGGTGCAACGCCACTGAGATACATCCCCAGCCCATGAGGATATGTTGTAAGTGCAAATTAATCCCAAATTCTATTCTATGATACACACGCTGCAACTGAGGTTGAAACACATTATCAATCGTTTGGTAGGTTAAGAAATGGGAATATCTCAGCTATAGTTTATTGGTGATCAAAGTACATGTATACACATAGCAAATTTTATTTTTTATGTTAGAATTCAGAACACCTATCTCAAGAGCTCTATAAGCACCAATTTAGTACCCAAATTAAATCCTTTGGTGATTTTTGAGATGCTAGCTGATATTCTGTTCTCCGCCATTTTTGGTTGGCAAATCTTACAACAGTTTTAATTGCTTTCATTTTTCATTGATTTGGATTTCCAGAGATTTATATCAGAACACACTGACATTTCCAAATGTATAGACATATTTCTTACATGATAGATTGGCTCACAGACTGACTGCAATTAAAGTGTTTTCAGGCACCAGGTGATGTATTCATGAGAGAAGCAGGTTGGGAAGAGAGGACAACAAACAGGGTAGTGGGAGGACTCTGTTGAGCTAGAAAATGTGTCTGTGTAGAGAATGTCACCTGTAATGAAAAAGTCACGTCTGGGGTAAAGGGCAGGCAAATAAGTAAATAGGCCGAATTGTGTGTAAGAATCAGCAATTTTAACAGAGACTATTGTTAATCTGTGATAAAACTTTTCAATGACCCTCCTTACTTCAGATATTACTTGTGATCTATTAATATCGCTCACAATAGCTTACTTATTCTAAATGCAGAGGCTATGGCATCCTAAAACTCATGAGCCTAGTTTACACAGGACAGTGTTTTAAATATATTCCATCTTTTATACAGGCTGATGTTACAATAGTACGTGTATTCAGTCCATATTGTCTCCCTGATGATGATCGATAGATTTCGCCTTTTAGGGAAAAGATCCCCTCTCTCCTGTACACCCCACCCCATGGATCTACATTCTCTTTAACCAGTGAAGAAACATGGAAGCCCCATACTTACATTGTGATGTGTTCTCATTACAGTCGTCTGTCCTTGGGTTCTCCAGAGTCTCTTGTGATCTGCACAAATGGGTGAATTTTTTGTTGTTCTTTTTTCATTCTATGAAAAAAATTACACTGGAATTTTGATAGAATTGTTTTGGGAGTTTGGACAATATTAATTTTTCTAGGCCATCAACATTAGCTACCTTTCTCTTTATTTTTGGTTTCCTCAATTTCTTTCATCATAGTTCTGTAGTTTTCAGTCAAGAAGTCTTTAAAATTCCTTGGTTAAATGTACATCTAATTATTGACTTTTTTGTTGCTTTATAAGTGAGGTTGCCTTCTTAATTTCACTTTCATGTACCTTTTATTAGTACGTGGACACATTACTCAGTTTTACATGTTGATTTCATAACTGGCAATATTACTGAATCAGCTCTAATTGTATTTTGGTGGTTTTTTGTATATGTAGAAAATCATATCGTCATCAAAGAGAAATGATATCACTTTTTCTTTTCCTATTAGAATCACCTCTATTTCTTATTCTGGTCTAGTTGTTCAAGTTAGGACTTTCGGGACTGTGCTGAGAAGAAGAGGTGAAAGGGGACTTGTCCTTGATTTCTTCCCCCTGCCCTTTGGTACCAGGGCTCAAACTCGAGTCCTTGCACTTGCCAGGCAGGAGGCAGCACCACTGAGCTAAATCCCTGGCCCCAGGCTTGTCCTTGCTACTCACTGTGACAGTGACGGGCTCATCAACAGTGGCCTTTATTGTGTTTACATCCCCTCTGTACCTCATCTCATGAAAGATTATATCATTTGTCTTTTTGTGCATCTATTAAAATGACCATATAATTTTTAACCTCTAAAATATGAAGGATTAAAAGAAACTACTGTAAACAATTATATGTCAATGATTTGGATAACCAACAAATTTCTAAACCCATGTAACTTACCAAGACTGAATCGTGAAGTAGAAAATCCGAGCAGATCAAATAAATAATATTGAATCAGTGTAAGACTCCCAACTTAATAAACCCAGTACCAAATAGCTTCACTGCTGATTTCTATCAAATATTCAAAGAACTAGTATTGTCAACTTGTCCAAAAAAACAAATCAAAGTGGAGGGAGTACTCCCAAACTCATTTAATGAGCTAGCATCACTCAAACTTCAATAGATAAGGATGCTACAAGAGAAGGAAATCATAGATCAAAGTTCTGACCAGCAGAGATGAAAATTCCTAGAGAAAATATCAGTAAACTGAATTCAAAATCATATTAGAGGAATGATTCACCATAACTATGTGGGATTTATCTCTGGGGGTGCAAGGATGGTTCAACCTACACAAAACAATGAGTGAAATGCACTACATTAACAAAATGATGTGTCCTTTTGACTTGAGATAAATGAAGAGAAAGTTCAGTACATAGATGTCTGGTTTGGGAAAAGGACAGAGATTGAAATCCATAGACAAACAGTTGGTCTTTATCTGGACTTCCCAGCGAACCCCAGTAGTGAGAGAGGCCATACTCAGAAGCGTCAAGGCTGTGTCAGATACAGGTCAAAATAGCCTTTTCAGGATATATAGTGACAAAATAGGACACTGATATGGAGAACTATGTATTTTTTTTTCTGTTGAGGTTCTGGAAACACTGTGACATGTGGTACATCAGCTATGATGACAGGCTGTTGGCAGGAATCATGAATCCCATTAGGAAATGTTAAGAAATTAATGGTACAGAAATACTTGCTTAAAAATACACATGAATAGCCTAAGGGGTCTCACAGGTACTTTTATAAAATTTATTATGCAAGGTGTAGGCAAAAGAAATAAAAAGGAGCCAAACCAAGTGATGGTTAATATGACAATTTCCAAAATGTAAGAGGCCCAGGGAATTTGAGTTATAACTATCTTATGCAATTCTTGTATCTGTTCTGGGAGAGATAGGAACAGGCAAAACAGTTTCTGAGCACAGATTTCAGTTAGTGAGGATATAATTAAGTGTGGGCTCAATAACACCACTTAACCCTTTACTTAAATGTTTCACTAGCTTTCTTATCGCTTCTCCACCAGACGACACCCATTCCTTGTGCTCACTTCTGGCTTCTGGATCTATTGACAATCTGCTGAAGGAGTACAAGCCATCTGAAATCTGCTTTAATATTCAAAACTCTTGAAATAATTTTCCATATATTAAAAAAACAACATAATAGAAAAAGAGAAAGAACAAAGTCAGGTGTAAATATTTGATGGACCTTCGTATCATTAGAGGTTAGTGGAAACACTAAAAGCAATCTTAAAAATAATAAGCATCATGGCTCTTGTGGATTTTTGAAATTATATGAGCTGAATGGGCAACTCATCTTTCTTTTAATTTGGTGGTAGAACAAATTTGCAGGGTGTTTTGTTTTGTTTTGTTTTTTGTTGTTGTTGTTCCGTGGATCAAACTCAGGACCTTGAGGCAGAACCACTGAGCTAAATCCCAGACCCTTGCAGAGATTTTTTTAAAGTGAAGGTAAAATCTGACTTATAGATACAAACTATCACTGTTGGCTTCTCTGATTTATGGCTCCTGAAGACCCTTTCCTTAAGGGGTAGTCCCTGGGACAACAGGTCGCTAATCAGGTAACCAAGTATTGACAAAGAACACAGCTTTAATACTGATTGTTTTTCAATTTATTTTTAGTCTTTAAAAAACAATGCTCTGTGGCATTTACTTGACAGCCCTGAGAATTCTTAATAGCACAGTGATTGTAATCACATCTCCCCAAAGTGGCTAACGAAGGTGACAATAAATAGAAACATGAATGCAATAAAAATAGATCAGTTATCACTCACACAGCATAGCAGAAACCACAAGGATATGGAAATTTAGTTGCAAGTCGCTTGGGGGTTCTGATTTTTCAGGAAAGAAATGCTTGTTTTTAAGCCAAATTTATTTTGGTTTTGGTCAATATAACTCATATTATTTCTACTACAAATATAATATGAACTTTTCACGCTTTTAACATGCATATATAATAAACTTCCATAAATTGCATTAACAGCAGTAAACAATTCAGATGCAGACGATTTTGAAGCATGATGCAATCTCACTAAATGTGTAGAGGTGGAACTTTGAAACCCTTTTCTTCTTTAGCCGAATGGCAACCCAGACTATCAACTCTTAATTTTTAGCACAGGTTGTTTTCTGAAAAATACAACCATAAGTTTAAATTGCAAGTTATTTGTGAAAGCAGAAAATTCACGAAATTCATTTTCTAATGTTCCTTGCTACTAATGGATAAAAGCACTATTTATAACATTGGGTGAGTCAAAACCACATTAATTAAGGAAGAATTTTAGGTTTTACATAACTCAGTTGATCTGACTCCTCTGGAAACAAGATGCCAAAATAAAATGAGAAATGCAAAGGCATTACCAAGAGATCTTTGCTAACACTGAAGGAAGGAAGACGATGGGACAGGTGTGGGAGAGGCAGGTGTGACACACAGGAGGTGAGAGAAGGAAGACGGTGCCTGGATTAGGAGAGGGCCAAACCAGTGGAGCCAGGAAAAAGCTTTCAGTAAGTCACCGGGAAGCCCTGAACAGAAGTTCGCTCAGAATGGGAATCTAATTTGGGGCAATAGTGTCTCAGTATTCCAGTCACACTTGAGATAGAATCAATATCCTTGCAAACATTTGCCAAAAGAAAGTTCATGTCATTTTCTAATATTAACATCTGAAAAAAGTCCACCCCTAGGCAATAAGCATTCATAGATATAAAATTTATATTTCATAAAGTTACAGAGGGCTTTCTCAACAGGAAGGCATACTTACAATTCCTAAAGGTATAGGCTGAAAGGACACTTTCAAATTAAAGAACTAAAAGTGAAATAGAAAATGAAGGATCGTAGTGACAGATTGGAACATACTTTTTCCAACAGCTGGAATGGTTTTCAAAGGCAAAACTTAGTAGAGTGTGCCAAATCTTTATAAGGTTTAAGAAACTTGGACGAATTATTATTTAAATACCAAATTACCCAATTATAACAGAACATGCATTTTCCAAGCTCACTTAGAATCACCTAAATATATTCACTGAAAATTTATAGTATGGCGGTGTAAACACAGCCCATGATATTCTGTTACTCAGTCTGGACACTCACTCCAGCGGCGTAAAGAAGATGGACATCAAATAACACAAAGAGAGCAGGACTCTAGTGATTACATCTTTCATCAAGATGGAGCAACAGAGACCAGATTCAATACTGCTCCTGAAACAGCCAGAAATTCTACAATATCTATGAAATACCCGCTTTGAAAACACTGGTTATCAGGAAATGAAGGACAGTGTTTGTGGAAAAGTAGAGCAACAATGAGGTGAGACCTATGATTAATTTGCTTAATGTAGTGGTAAAGTTTATAATCTGCACAGCATAACGAGGGAATTCAGGTGGCGACCGGTGGGCTCTGAGCTTCGGATGGGGTTTGGAGTCCTCAGAGCATCAGGGAAGGCTGAGATGCATTTGGAGAGAATTCCAAATACATCCTAAAGATTCCCGTTAAGGATTCCTCAGAGGACTGAATGATACGTACGCGTCAGGGAACTAACCCAAGCTAGACAAAGAGCTACGCACGCTTCTCAACTCACAATGGGGTTCTGCCCAGATAAATCCATCATAAGCCGAAGGTGTGTGAGGTCAAAATGCATCTAACACTACTCATGTACTAAATCTCACAGCTTACATGTTGACTACTGGCTACTCTTCCTCCTGTGCACACAGCTGACAGAGCCACTCCTCACTGCAGAAGGCCTCAAGAGGGTAGAAAAAGCATACTGATAGCTGGGAAGATGATCAAAATTCAAAGGCTGAGGATGTAGCTCAGTGGTAGAGCCTGTGATTAGCACGTGTGAGAATCCACAAATGGTACCAGATAAAGTGGATGTTTATATGGAAAAATTCAACTCCTAATGGTGAATATGTGTTACAGGTAAAACCATCCTGCTTGTAGAAGAACAAAATGGATAATCATGCTCTTGAGGTAAAGAAAACAAAAATTTTTTCAACATTACACCAAAACTTTATCGATAAAGAAAAGTGGATGCATATTAATAATGCTAATAAGTAAAAATGGTATAAAAATGCTCAGGTGAGATATATACACCTGACAAAGAAAAATCATAATGTATGCTTAGCCAATAAAGAGAGCATGAAACCCCCCACTCCTGTTTGTTAATTTATTTTTAGTAGTTCTTTTTAAATTTTGAAAATTGTTATTAGTAAGTGTTTGCAGTACAGCACAATTGCATTTAACCTGAGGACTTGGGACACTGATATACCACATTTATTCCCTTTCACCCTTGCTCTCCTCGCCACCTATCCCCTTACCCTCCATCTCTTGGTCCCTTTCCTTTTCACAAAAGATTTACCTTTTTGTTTCCTGTTATCTGTCTTTTATTTTCCTCTTTCATTTATTTACACTTTGATTTTTTCACATTAAAAAACCCCATATATTTAGGCTTCTGTGTGTGTGATTGATTTCACTTAGCATTATGGTCTCAAAGTTTGTCCATTTTCCTACAAATGACTTGGAGAGTCCTCAAAACATTAAAACTAGATTTTCCATTCAACCCAGCTATTCCCCTACTAGGTATCCTCCCTAAAGACATCATATCACAGTGATCTATGCACACCCGTGTTTATAGAAGCACAAGTCATAATAATTAAACCTTGGAAATGGCACATAGGTTCATCATCAGATGAATGGATAAAGCCAATGTGGTATCTACACACAGTGGAGCAGTACTTTGCCGTTCACGGACTTCTCCCCTAAACATTTTACAGAAAATACTATTGCAATGGCAAAAAGCATGTGAGAAGTACTCAACTTCATTACTCGTCATGGAAATACAAGTTAAAAAATAATCACCGTACAACTCCTGCAAGAGGTACACCGGGAACACCAAATGTTACTGAAATGGCAACTAAAACCCATTAAAATCTAGTGAAGTGCTCATTTATTTAAGCACTTTGGAAAACTAGTTGGTAGAATTCACTAAAGTTTTGCATCTAACAAACAATTGACCAAGTCTTTGTCCATTTGTACACATGGAAAATTCATATTCATGGATATATTTCCCAGAAGATGAACCATATGGCTCAAAGTATGTATTATTCTTAATAATCCCAAATTAAGCTATATTAAAATACAAAATTTAGACAGTGGTTATGTAAATACTAGTTAAAGAAAGCTAGATAAAACTGGTACATATGAGTGGTATATATAACACTCAGTATTACAAGGGTAATATTTCTCTCTAAATCTAAAATTTCTAATTTAAATGTACATTTATGAAACTCTAAATGTTATTTTGAAAATTTATTTTGATGAATACAAGTTAGCAAATGTTGACAAAAAATTTTGAGATGATCTTCACTCTGTATTAAAATACTATAACTTGACAGTAATTTAAAAAGCAATGCTGATACATTTTAGAAAGCAATTTAAGAGAATAGAAATTTCAGAATAACCTTTGCACATAAGAATATATATTCTGCAATAAAAAGGAAATGTAATGCAATAAAGAACAATGCATAACTAAAATAATACTGAGATAATTGGCTATTTCTTGTGTGTGGAAGTGTAGCTCCGTGGTAGAGGGTTTGCCTAGGATGCGTGAGGCCCTGGTTTGACACATAGCACCACCAAAAACAGTGTTAAAGACATAGATACAGGCAAGAAGTTCCTCAATAGAATTGCACAATTAAAAAAAAAGAATCAACAAATATGACCATATCAAATTAAAAAGTTTCAGCAAAGCAAAGAAAATGATCAGTAGGGTGAAGAGCCAAATGACAGAAAGAGGAAAAAATTGACACCTACTCTTTAAACAGAAGACTAATATCTAGAATATATAAAAACTAAAAAAGTTAGGCCCCCTAAATAAAAGAGCAAATCCAAAAAATGGACAATTGAAATGAATAGATACTTCTTCCAATAAACACAAATGGACAATAAACATAAAAAATGTGCAACATCTGTGGCCATTAGAGAAATGTAAATTACGACAACACTAAAAGTTCCAGAAATAAGCTATTCTTGGATTGTAAGTGTGACACTGCTCTGAGTTATGAAATCTCACACTATCCCACTCCATCCCTGCCCCGATGAGAATCACCATTGTGTGCAGCGTATCCACCCAGTCTGTGCCACCTGCCTATTCTCTATCAGATTGACTGTTACAGTATCACAGTGCTTTTGTTCAGGTATCCCTTATTTCACTTAATAATGGCCCAAACATGCAATTCAAATAAGTCAGAAAAAAGACATAAAATGCTTTCTTTAAGTGAAAAGATGAAAGTTAACGTTATATTTTTTCAGTTGAAGGAAATATTTTTGAATTGGATGAAACAAAAAGACCTGGCTATGAACTACCTTCAAAAAACAAGAAAAGGAAATAAAAGAATATAAATTGAAAAAGAAGCAGCAAAAATTACTCTTCACTTATGATAGGATAATCTACAGATAAAATTTCAAAGAACCTACAATAAGTTGTCTTAGAACTGATAAAAAGTATAGAAAACCATAGTCAAAAGAAATAGTTGGAATTTAAAACTAAAAAAATATAATTTACAATCTTAAAACCATGGTACTTAGATATAACTCTATGAAAAACTATGCAACACTATAGAAAAACTAGAAGAAGATACAACAAATGAGTTTTGAACCTGGTCATGTATTAAAAGACTCAATAATGTAAAAATGTCCACTCCAAGAGCCATAAGGAACTCCAATCAAAAGTTTTTGTAGATATTCCAACTTTTACATGAAAAAGAAAAAATCTGGACTATATCGTGCAATACTGAACACAGGCAATAAAGTTCAGAGAAATCATACTTGACTATTTCAAGCTTTGCTTGAAAGCTGGAGTAACTGGGATGGTGCAGTGATGTTGAAATTACACTTAGACAGAACAATGAATGTGAGACAGTGCAGAAAAAAACTCAAATATTGTCTTCTGATCCTAAGTGAAAAACATAAAGATACTGAACTTCTAGGAGAAAATCTAGTCAACTTTGGATTTGGTGATGAGTTTTTGGACACATCAGTAGCATGACCTATGTGAAAGAATCAAGAGATGGACTCTGTTGCGATTAAAAATGTCTGCCTTCCAAGAGAGATTTTTTTTTTTTATAAGACAGGGTCTCATTATGTAGTACAGGCAGCCTTGAACTCACTATGTAGCCCAGGCTGACCTCCAACTCAGAGATCCTCCTGCCTCAGCCTGGTGGGTTCTGGGATTACAGGCATGCTCCACCATGCCCAGCTCCAAGAGATATTTTAAAGAGAATGAAAATTCAAGCTACAGGCTGAGAAAATATATATATTTGATAAAGAACATATACCGAAATTGCTGAAAAATCTTTAAAATCAATAATAAGTAAACCAGTTTTAAAATGAACAAGTGAGATGAGCAAATATTCCATCAAGGAAAATATGCAAATGGCAACAAGCATAGAAAGTGTTCAAGATGATCTTTAAAGAACCACAAATAAAACCAGTACCACCCATGAGAAGGTAAAGCTGCAAACACCGGCCCCGCCAGGGCTGGCGAGGACTTGGAGAAAGAGGAATGCCTGCTCACAACAAGCAGTGTGGCAGAGCTGCTTGGGGAGGAATTCGGCAGTTTCTCAGCTTTCCGTGTTCACCCCAGTGACCTGGAAATTGAAATCCACGCGAAACCCGAAAATGAATGTTTACAGCGACTTGATTCACAATGGCCGAAACGTGGAGGCAATTTAATGTCCTTCAGTGGGAGAATGGAGAGACAAATGGCATTGCTGTCTCAGAAGGGAAAACGCTTCAAACACAACAGGAAACAGGGTGTGAAATGACGAGGGGCGTGGATGAATTTTCAATCACAGTTCTGGACGAAAGAAAGAAGCCAGTCTGTCGAAAGTGCACAGTATATGATTCCAATTCCATGACATCACATAAAAGACAAAACTATAAAAACATCAGTACAGTGTTCGCTAGGAGCTTGGGGAGGGGGGAAGAAGACCACAAGAGTGTTTTTGCTTGTTTGTTTTTTAGGTGATGAAATTATTCCTTACTGAATAAATGTGGATGCGTGACAGTATGCTTTGTCAAAACTCTTTGAACATCACAACGCACAGAATGTACCTCAGTGCGTGTAATTTTTAATGCACGTATGCAGGAGGCTGGACGATTCCAGGATAGAATGCATCCTGCGGTACAGAAGAATTTAAGCCTGCTATGAATATATGCATTAACTTCGCATGACTCAGTGATGGGGGAATACAATGACCAGAGCATCCTGAGGATGGGTGGAATGGGTAAGGGTGGACACCAAGAAAATTCTTCCAAGCATTGCATTGTACTGCACGAAGTTGTTTCCCTTTGGCTATGGGTTAACAATAATACGAGAACACAGGAGTTGAGCTCTTCACTGTTTTAGTGATAAATGATTGGAGCCAGGTCTTTCTCTGTTGGATGGAGAGGAGGCTGAGATTTTCTATGTGGTGGTGGACCAAACTAGGGACATCAGTATGCACTGATGCTTAGCCTACTATAGACAGAAATGTTCTCTCTCTCTCTCTCCCTCCCTCCCTCTCCCTCTCCCTCTCCCTCTCCCTCTCCTTCTCCCTCTCTCTCTCTCCCTCTCCCACACACACAAATGCAATCCCTCAGTCCTGTATCTGAGAACATCTAGAAGTAGCCACACCCAGCAGTCCCAAACACACCTACTGCCAGATCTTGATAGAGCCATTCTCTAGTAAATCAAATCAGATTTTTGTAATGAAAGTAAATTTGCATCCACTGCTGTGAACTTGACACAAAACTCTGTGACCCAATATTTTCCAAGGACTCAGTGTATGACATTACAACACTGTGCAATAATAAAAGTTAAAACCCTACTCAGTGTGCAAACTACAACAGTTGGTTTCAGTGTAATAGGGCACAAGTTAATTTATACCATTTCAGATTGTGTATATCAACTAATTTTGAAGATATCATCAACTGTCAAATTTTGATGTAGTACCAAAGAGAAATATTTACAATTATCTGAAGAAGCTATGCGAATGTGAATACTCCCTAGGTTTTCC